ATAGACCTGATCTTGATTTCTATGTAAGGAGCTAGGATGACATACAATGATATTATAAACTAATAAATAACCAATTATAACAACTGGTTATACACTGAGACCAAGGAAAGTTTAATTACAGCTGAAAAGAACCAATTTATGTAGCTGTTAACATACACAGATAGTTATTCATCAAATATAAAATCTACAAAAATATACTCATTATAGTTAGTTCATGTATTTTGCTTAGGAGAGCTCGTATGCATGCTTTATTGTTTTACATTCGTTACACTAAAACTATTTAAACAGAGGAAAATGTCAAAAATAGCCAACATGAATTACTCTTAACAGGATGAAGACAGTCTTTTATGGTTTGAAGAGAGCACTGCCTTCAGTTTTTGCTGCACGCGCATGCAGGGAGTTGCAGGGATCCTGGAATGCTCCCAAACTCCCTGGCTGCGTGCAACGTTAAGAGCAGATGAGCTTTCTCCGTCAACCCCTCAGTGGAATCTGCTGTCACTTCAACCAGCTTGCTTCATCGCTATGAACACTTATGTAAACACAGAGCCACCGCTGCCAAGCACCGCTGCTGACAGACAGTAAACACCCCCCACACACACACACACACAATCCTAAACAATGCGCTGCTTTCAAACTATTGCTGAATTGTCTTCTTGTGCTTTCTCCTCCACAGCCACTGAGGAATCACGCAGAGCACCAAAGTGGACCCCCTCCCAAAAAACAGACAAGATCGATTATTCCATCTACTTTCCAAGCAGAAAGATAGGAGATAGGGAAGGAATGTCTTCAGCCTCTGCAGCTTGTTTTTGTTTGGAATACTCACCTCATGCTATCAGCAGTTCTAACAAATGCCCTATCCTTTAGTACCTTTACGCCTTCTTCCTGCAGTAGGACACCAACTGTCACAGGCCAGTTGGCGTCGCCTAATGCTTGGCAGTGGCATTAGTCAGAGTCAAGCTGACACAGGTGGCTACTATTTCACATGCTGGCAAAACAGGCTTTAATCATCAACAGCGTGTGTGCAAGATGCTTTTACATTGCAGTAAATCTACAGTAACCATGACTTTTTCTGCCTGCATCAAGATGACAATGTTAGCTTTGATGTGGATATATATTTAACACCCAATAGCAATCCACACTTTTGAGGTTGCAACAGGAAGAGGATCCTCTGCCAAAACAAACATGCGGCGCTACCTGCCGTCGGGACCCCTTGGGAATAAGGAAGCAGCTGAAAGCAGCATGTTACAGGGGAAATATATAACAGGCTATTTTCATAATCAATTAATAGCTGACATTAAATTTCAATCGGACTTACTAAACTTTGCTGCAGTTTTGTCACATTAATATTCTAAATTTCTTTAGGGTGTTTTAGGGCATCCATACATCCATCACATATTGCTTTCTATATTTATGCTTTTTATTTTGCGTTAATACATTACATTTTCTATGAAAAGGTTTGATACGCACCTCCAAACACATTTTTTCTCAGCTTTAACAAGTCTTTGACTCATGCTTTATCTTTCCTTTTAAGTTAGAGGAAATATCGAAACAACAAATCCTGCCAGTAAATACACTCCTCGAGCTCATAAGCATGTCAGAACAACCAGACAAGCAGTACTTACGTACGCGCTAATAAATCACTTTCACAACCACAAACTTGGTCATGCTGCCCGAGTACCAGAACCACCGCTTTTCTCCAGCTTCCTCTTGCTAATCTGTGGATGGGAGCGGCACACTGGGGCCCTGGTCCAGAGTTAATTAGGAGCTGAGGGAGGATCTCCCCCTCCTCACTACCACGAAAGGCGGCCAGCTGGATCCAGTTTCAGATTAGACTCCCAGGATGAACATGCATCCACATGCATAAACACAAACATCCATACATGGGCACAAGCAAAAATGCACTTAACCCCAAAAAAACACACACAAAAAAAACACACAAAAAAAAACAACCCACACACACACACGTACGTGAGGATCCTCTCCTGTAATGTATGGCCTTTGTGCATAAGCTTGGATACTGCAGCACATATACACATAGAGCACGGAGAAAAGCATTGAAATGACTGACTCCCTTCCTGTTTGGCTGGAAATCTCCAGCCGTCGGTTATGTAAGTATTTACAAGAAACAAGCGTAAGAGACTTTCTGCCCACAGTTCACCTCTGCAGAGGTATGCCCCCCCCCTTGGCTAAGCTAAAATTTATTAAGAAGACAAAATGAAGTCAGCATTAAACTGAAAGACCACCAGACAGACGGTATCAAGGGAAAGTCTGATTTTTCATTTTCTTCTCTCCGGCTTAACCCTGAGACAGACATCACCCTGCAGCAATGTCACTTTACTAGTCTTCCATTTGCCTCAATGGAAAAAAAAGCTGTGAGGAAGAGAAGACTGTATTCCTCTGGACTGAACAGGCTGGCTGATTAGCTAAATTGGTGTGCGTAAATGGGGTTTTGTGAAACGTAAGCTGAGCATATGTCGAGTGCAAGAGGAAAGAGTTCAATATATTTGTCTTTCTCTTGTTGCGAAAGGATTTTTGCAAGATTAAGCAACTCTTGACAATATTCTGTATGTGTATATGTGTCTATATAGTAAAGTCCTTTTTATGCTTGTGACCTGGACTTTTATTCTGCTTTCAAGCTGAAAAGAAAAGCTTCAGCAAATGGACTCAGAAGGAAGTCTACTGTGTTTGGGATCAGTGTATAGATGTGGGAGTGGGTATAGCTTGTTTCTTTTCCATTCCAGGCATAATCTGATTAGAGCAGCTCTACCACTCTGTGTTCAGAACTGGTTTCATCTATAGGCCGATAAGGAAGATCACCAGGTGACTCGGCATTGACTGAGCGACATCTAAAGCCTGTAAATGCCCCCCAGGATTGCATGGCGCAGGGACACAACACTGTAAATCTTTAGTATTTGATGTGATTACGAAATACACAAAAGCTCATGCCTGGATCAGCTGAATTTAATCTATGAGTTCAATTTAAAGGTTAAAGTCTTGCATACATCTGTGACCCAGTTCCTCATTTTTGATCAGGTCATATGGAGGAGAATTGAAGAAGAAACCACGCCCCTTTTCACAGAGCGTGGGAAGTACAGGTGGACGCCAAAGCAGGGAGTGTCACCACTCTCACACAGGCAGCCACTTACTCACCTGATCAAGTGAGGACTGTCATAGACACAGACTGCCAGAAATCTAATACCACACAGTGTAAAAGGCTCAGTGAAGACAAAACACCACTGAGCCTGGTTTCAAGGGCCAGCAGTGTAACCTGACAGCACCGCAAACCACAAGGCTGGACCATTAAATGAAAACAGAAATGTAAAAATGTAATAAGCTTTTTTAAACTACAGAAAGATGAGTTGTAGGCGTTGTATTTTATGTGTCATGAGATCTGGAAGAGAAAGCGGACTACAGTAAAATTATATTGTAGTCATTTGGCTCTGCTGTAAAATTACTGTTCAGGCCCACAATAAATCAGAGGACTCTGGCCTGCGCCTGATTTCACCTCTACAAGTGTCTGTGTGGGACCCAAGTTCATTAAATTGGAGTAAACTCTCCTGCGGCTCAGTGTAGCTCAGTTAGATCCGCAGCAGAATCTGGAAAACAGGGTCACGAAAGGGGATTACATCGAGCACTTTTTCTAAGCTCATAAAGAACTCGGGGCCTAACTGCTTATTTATTTCTGCATTAATTAACTTTCTTCGGCTCTTTGTAGTTGCTGGCCCTCCAACTCCCCCCTCCTCTTCCTCCTCCTTCACCAACTCCCTGCACAGCCTGGCATCTCCCACATCACTATAACAACCACGGCTGTAATGCACCACAATATCCCCCGCACCCCGGTCCCATTTCAACTGGTAGCACAACAGAGAAGGTAAACGAAAAAAGAAAAATCACTGCAGCTGTAACCCAAAACCAAACTTCTAACATCAATTATTAAAATGAAGAGTACCAAAACTTCTGCTCACCCTGCTCATAGTCGCTGATGTTGTCCTCCTGACCTTTTCTCTCTCACGCACATCAACGGAGCAGCTGTTGTAGTTATTTATCCATGGTGTCGGAGCAGTCTCTCGGACCTCCAGGCGCTCGCTGTGTCGCTCTCTCGCTCCCCTCGCAAAAACATATCGCTCACAAATAATTGAGAGAAAAAAAAATAGTATGGCAGCTACCTCCGTTAACTAGTCACCCCCCGCAACATACTGAGACAAATGGCTGGCTGACTCCTTGAGCTAGCACCTTAAGCTAGCTCAAGCACGGCTCCACTGATAAAACTTGTGAATTGCGCAAGCTCTGTGGTTTCTTATTTCGCTTTCACCAACCGGCAAAACTCGTTGGTGTGCAAGCGACTGCGATGATAAACACTGAATCATGAAATTTCTCCCGACCTAACTCATGGGACACTCCTAATGTCGCTGGTGACTCCAAGTTAAAAGAGGACTCTCTTGGAGGATCGTGCAGGCGAGCATCACTAATGCACTTGTTGCTGTGCTGTTACAAGGGGCGGGGCCATCGCGAGGTTAAGCTCGAGGTTAGTGGTTGACCACAGGGCGACCATTTTGGTTTGGAGCCAATCGCAATTCAGTAAGTCGTCACCACCGCAAACCACGCCCATTCCGAGGCTCTTCAATGAAGTTGGAACAGAAAAAAATGCTTCACCTAGTTCCAGCGTCTCTCCGACGACTAAAAAAGACTCGGCCTTCCAGTTGGTGTTGAACTGTCTTCCTCGTGTCATGCCAAGCAATTATTGTCACAGATATTTCTGTACCGAGCCCATCCCAAAATACCAGAAGAAGAAAAAAGAAGGGACTGAGTGATTGTCGCTCCCCTTTGTTCTGAGAGAGTAAACAGGTTACAGAAATAACACAGAGCTCAGTCAACCTTTGTACAGTGTTTAATATCACTGTTTGTTTTCATGTGATCAATGCTCACATGTCAGCAGAATTTCATGTCCTAAAAACAAAAAAGAATAAAAAGAACCCACACAGAATTTCAGAAGTGCTTGGAAAATCATGATGTTTAATAAAAGTAGCAGTAGATGGTGTAAAAGCACTCAAACACGTGTCAAAGTTTAAAAGCTTTTAACGAAGCAAGGAATGTAAAAACAAATTCCTCTTTTGATTGCTATATCTGTTATAGAGCACAATAATCCTGGGTGACTGTCATCCGTGTTAATGTTTAAGAAGAATTTTGAACCAGCTTCCTTGTGTAGTTTAATCTACAACAACCAGTTCAATCTCAACAACACCCTCACTTGCTTTACATGTTAAATTTTAATGAGCAGTGTAAATGCCTTATATAGAAAAGTGTGTCATTAGCTTGGTGGAGAAGGAGTCACACAACAGCATTAAAATACTGAAGTGACAATTCACATTTATACAGTACTTGAATAAATTAGTTACATTTTACCACTGCAACAGGCATTTTAGACTTAAATGTATGTTTCTTCCTGTTAAAATTGAGTTTTTCCTTCCCACTGTCGCCAAGTGCTTGTTCATAGAGGCTGTATGATTGTTGGGTTTTCTCTCTGTTGTTGTTACACAATAAAGCACCTTGAAGCAACTGTTGTGAGTTTGTGCTACATACATAAACTTGAATTTCATTTAATTAGAATTTGTTGTCATGTTGAATCCTACTGACTTGTACTGTTCTTCTGCATTTTACTGTTTCTAGTCATAGTAATCATAAATGATCCCTTAATTAAGCCTCAAAGATCAAAAACCCAGAGAAGGTAGTGTCGTCATCCTCATCAGCAAAGAGCCCATTAAATGGCTCTCCTCCAACCACCTGCAACCACACCTTGTCCCCGACCCCCAGATGCAGCACAGCTCCCCCTGCTGCCTGGTCCTCGCTGCCCTGGTAGTTGTCAGTGGTGTGGATGATTTTTGCACCGTTCTTCACGAGGGCCACTTTCACATTTCTGGAAAATACAGTGATGTGGTACGTGAAGAAGTAAGCACCTGCCGCGGAGCAAGTGAATCTCCCTGTTTGTGGATCGTAATGATTCTGCTCATTGTAAATAATCTTGTCAAACCGGATCGGTGCATTAGCTGCTGGGAGTTTAGTTTGAGCACTGAGTCCTACGGAGAAAGCACTTTTGGAAACAACAATTTCGTCTCCCTTTTCACCCCTATCGCCCTTTTCACCTCGAGCTCCTCTATCCCCACGATAACCAATGTTTCCTTTGTTACCTGGAAAACCCATGTCCCCTTTGGGACCTGGCCTGCCAGGTGGTCCCAATGGCCCTGGAATGCCTCTGTCACCTTGGAGGCCAGTTTCCCCTTTTTCACCCTGTGGTCCGGGTGGCCCTAAACGTCCTTCAGGTCCTGGGGGCCCAGGGAGCCCAAGCTCTCCTTTATTTCCTTTGAGGCCAACAGGCCCTTGCACTCCCTGTGGTCCCATTTTCCCAGGAAGGCCCCTATCACCATTATCTCCTCTTTTCCCCTTGAGCCCTGCTGGACCAGTTGCACCTGTAAATAATAAGCACACAATAAACCTTCTTTGAACTGTAAGTATGGTGTTTACAGTGCAGTAACATATTGCAAGTTACATACAGTGCAAACATTTTGATAAATTGCATTAATAAATGACAGTGGTTGTGACTCCATTTGCAGATAAATACACATATAGGTGCACATAGTGTATCGTAAAGACACATACCAGGTTCCCCTTTGTCTCCCTTGTGCCCATGATTGCCTGCTAGCCCAGTAGGTCCAAGTTCACCTTTCCAACAATGATTGATGAATTATAACGTTATTATAAACTGTGAAGGTGGCACCTAAAACATGCAAAAATAAATAAATAAATAAAGTTTCTCTTGTAAACTTACCTCGATCACCTTTGTCACCTCGGAGTCCGTCGCGGCCATCTCTGCCAGGCATGCCATTGTTCCCGGGATCACCTGGTATTCCAGGATATCCACAGACACAGCCTTTACTTTGGGTTTCTTGCTGTGCAACACATCTGAATGCCAAGACGAGGAGCAGTAAAGCGATCCTAAACCTTGTCTGCAACATTTTACCAGTTTTACCTGTCTAATGAAATCAATTTCCCACAACAAATAAGCCTGAAGTCTCAATCTAATGCATAGCTAGCCTTGTTGCAGCACGTTTAACTTAAAAGCTGGCATGCACAATGAAAGAAGAAAAGATATCAGCTACAGAAAACACAAGCTGAGAGACAGTTTCAGACGAGATTGACCTTAGACCTCTCAAAGCCATTGGTCTCTTTGTTGTTTTTGGTTTACTCATTGAGCCTGCCACACTGGTCACACATCACCTCTTCTCCAGTCTAGCCAAGGCTAATAATAAGCTTACACTCAAAGAGCCCTTGAGGGCCACACATGCAGAAGGCCACATAGTTGACATGAAGTGCCTATATAGTGAAGCAAACAAGATATTAACCTTAACCAAATAATTACATATTGAGAATATATGCTGCCACACCAGAAGATACCAAGTTTTTATTGAGCAATTAAATAAATGGTACTATGAATGGACAGTAGACTGGCTGTTAATAGCAAACTAAAATGTCAGTTAAAGCATGTATTTCACATATGTGCCATTTAGCAGCCAAACAGATGCAAGCAAGTGACCCCATAAACTGGATCACTGAAATAAAAGTGACCTTTTGTAGTCTAAACATTACATACCAGGACACTGCAAAAAGGCGTCACTATAATTGCATTTTGTTAAGTATCAAAATGGACAGAATAAAAGGATATGAAGGTTACACACACTTTGAAGTAGTTCTAGTCTTTGTTCTTACAATGGTAAGATCATCTATTAAAGGGCGTTACAGGAGCAGGGAGGGATTTAATATCTGACTGAAGTCTACTCAGCAAGGCAAAGGTTTGCTGGCACACAGGCTTGAATCAGAAACAAGCAGCCTAATCATTATGCTGCGCAGCATATGCTTTATTCGATTGTGTACAGTGAGCAGAGAAGAGAGGGATGGGCATGAGGGAGGAGCTGGAACATAAAACCAAGATAACGGGGGAAAGAAAAATTCACCCAACACCCTGAGTACACAGCAGTTGCTCAACTTTTGCTTTGTAAAAACTGACACAAATACCTCTTATCATACTGTACTTTATTTTTTTATTTTTTTTAAATAATTCTTCTTACAGGCTTCCAGATATAAATATATTTTAAAAATATAATACACATAAAAGGGCACATTCAAGCAGTGTAATCAACGGGCATCAGAGATGAAAAGTCCACTGTTGTACATGTTGGCTACTGCACATTTACTTGCTTGTTGCGCACAAAAGAGACACAGTACAATATGTAATCTAACAAACAAATAACAAGGGCATGGCTCAGAATGAATGACTCTCATTTATAATTTGAGGCCAGTATATCAGGACCCAGTCTTTGTAGTCCCATAACCAGGCACCACGTGAGGTTGATTTGGTTACAGAGGATACTGCAACAAGTCTTCAGACAAGATAGCAGAGACATCGTCAGTCATTAAGTTCCATTAGGTTTAAGGCTAAATAATTACAGGGTAACAGTAGCCATCCTAAAACAAGCAAAGAAATGTAATGTGTCAATAATTAAAAATGCATAGCATACGGCATGCTCTAACAGTGGCTTACAGTACTTCCGTAAATATATGTACAACTCTGATGACTTGCATTGTATAGAGATTTTATTTAAACACTTTGCAAGACTAAACCGATGCTGAAACACTGAGTTGCACGTAAAGTAAACATCTGGACCTGAAAAGTAACCAAATGGAGTTAAGAGTGATAGTTAGGAAACAGCACGTGAGATCCTGGGAGAGAGGAAGGGAAGGAGAGTCCAAAGAAGGAGAGCTACAGCATCTGACATCATTTTTTTCAAAGTGTGAATAAAACACTGTCTGGAAAAAGCAGCACTTTCAGGGAAACTGAGGTTAACGTGGCAGGTGCTACGAAGCTTAGGAAGGTTTTTGGGGCTACAATATTTGTGGTGTTAGGAGAGAGTAAGGTCTGGAAGCAGAACAGCAAGGGTAGTAATGGGTCTACATGATCTGACGGTGCATGCCATAGCCTGTCATACCAGACTGGGAAGCCCCACGGTTGCTGCCCATTTGGAGGCCAATTAAACTCTGTCCTTGGCGTAGCTGCTCGTCGGTGAATTCTCTTCGGTACCCCTGGGCTTTCCTGAATAGAAACAGCAATATGGTTACAGGATTAGCTGTGCAGTTGTGAAGATATTGAGTTCTTTTTGTTTTGTTTCGCTGTGTATCCACCTGTGGAACCAGTCTCTATCTCCTCTGTATTGACCGTCGTCTTTGGTGACAGCCAAACTCCCCAGAGCCATTAGGGTCCTTTGGACTGCTGCCATGTCTTTTCCTGTAGCCAGATTGTAAACATTTTGTAAATCATCTGGTGACTATTAAATAGAGTAAACATGACTGCATCAGAAGATAGAGTTTACCCTCCCAGAGATCTACAGTTTGAAAGACGTCAGTGGTTGTGACTCCATAAGCTTCTGCGGCTTGCAGGAACTGGGAGATCTTCTCCATTTGTTTAAAGGCCATCTGAGACTCTGGGATCTTTTTGATGGGTTCCTTCCCCCTCGGATAAAGGCTGTTGATGAGTCTACAGAGAATCTGGGACAAAAGAGGTCAGGAATCTGTATTGACTGTCATCAACCAACATACTGACCATACCATACTAATGACTCATGGTTCTTAAAGGAATAGCTCACCCAAAGACATTGTCATTTGACACGCCTAATCTAATATGGACATTTTTATTCTGGGTTGTAGTCTTATCTTCCCTTTCCAATTTGTACTTTAGTAACAGCTTAATTTCGAGAAGAAGTGTAGTCTCTGGAGAGGAAGGCTGTCTTCTAATTCACAAAAAGTCTGAGTCACTTTGCTGTGAACATGCAATGGCCTCTGATTGCATTACACTCTTATCTCTAGAGTTAATTATTAGGTCATAAATTGATGTATCTGCGTCATATGATTGTTTTCTCTGAGTTTTTTTTTTTAGCATTAGTCAGCTAAAGAGCATGGCAAAAGACAGCAAAGTGAAGGGTGCACTGGTAAGCATCTTCACTGTGAAGATAGAGGAGTTTTTAAATCAGAGGCTTACAGAGATCAGTATAGCCATAGTAGTTAGCAATTTTCAAACTGCCGTTTGCTATCAGTGACTTATCAATAACACAAAACACAAGTATTCTTTTAACAACCTAATTGCAACTTAGCCAATAGTACATAAAGAAATTCTAATAAAAAGAGAATATTAATATATTTATATTTTATATTTTTAGTATATTAAAAATATAAAAAACTTTTTTTTTAGACTTTTGCCAACCTTGGGCTCTTTAAATCTCACAGAGCTATCCTAAATTATTTAAGGCTAGCTTCTATTTCAAGCAGAAAACTATGCTGCAGACACTCACTGTTCCATCCATCAGCCATTTCTGGAAGTTCTGCTTTCCCGGCTGTGGTTTCTCCAGGTTTCCTCCGCACTGTGCAATTATCCAATCGACCAACCTTTGCTCCAGGTCAGGATCATACTTCTGCTCAATCTTCTCCTGCACCTCTCGACTCAGTCCGTAACTGGGCCCTCTGTTTGCCATTGTGGGTCTCCCAGGAATCTAGTATATATTTTCTATGCAGTGTGCAATTTGCCTGAAGAGAACAAACGATTTCATCATCAATCATTACACCAGTGCAATCTTCTCATGTTATATTTTATGTTACCATTTTGTCTGATCTAAATCAATTTTCCACATTGGTTACAATATTCTTTTAAATAAAACAAAATGTTAATGTTTAGATAAAAGCCACATCAGCACACGTCTCGCTTCCCATCCATCGGTCCACCCAGAGACATCTTTGGAGCCTCTAGCACAGAATGGGTGTGGTCCTCTCACTGCCGCCCAGAACACGGACAAGCCCTCTTATTGCTATGGCAACGATGAAACCCGTTTCCGGCACACCGAGCGCAAAGATGCGCTGTACTTGATGTCCGTTCGAGTATAACCTCCGCGCAGGCAACATGACGCAAATTAAATAATCAAATGTATTTTCACGAAAAGTTTATATCCTTTTTTTTTTCATTTTTTGAAAAGGGAGCTTCCAACAATATACAGAAGTTCACGTTGCGCTATTTTTAGCTGCAATAGAGTTTAATTTAATTACGTCAGTCCCCTTTTACGCATAAGCGTTTTGGGAATACATCACCTGCCGTTCACTGCATCGTTCACAAAGTGCGCAGTAAACTTAAATGTAATGCATGAAACATAAAGTCCCGTTACCTGATAACACCATGCCACATTGCTACGCATTCTGCAGCTTGTTAAAACAGAAAGGGAGCCGTCCAAAGCTCACATGGCAGCCGTGACGCCGCATTGTTTGCATATATGCATTATATGCTGCAAAAGTCATGCACTCACAGCGTTTTTATCGAGGGGGTGAAAAGCAATGATGCACTTACTACTGAGGACAGCAGGGAGAAAGGTCAGATTCGTCCCGTATCCGATGCGTTAATTCCGCTGAGCTAAAGCTGAGCTGAGGCTGAGGATGCTGAAGTGCTGAAGCATCCGTGCTGATGGCACGAGGCTGGACCTCACTTTGTCCGGGAGGAGCGAGCCACTGGTTTTATATGGCAGCTCCCCCGGGAGGTGTCCCCAGAGTCACTCTCAGCACAGACTGCGACGTGACTGCGCTCCAGGATAGTGGTCACTGTAGTGCACGCTCAGCTCATTCGGCATTGAACGGATCCTCGTCAAAGCAGAGGCACATGATGGTGTCAAATCAAATCTTTGAACTACTGCCTGCGACTTTAGGGCAATAGTAGATGGAGATCACAGCAAACAAGATAATCCTCTTTTATTTCATCATAGCTGATCAGTTGGCAGCTACACTGACTTGCTCAACAACAGTTGTCTATGTTGTGTTCTTTAAAGTGCTGGTCTACCTCCTGCGTTTCTGCACAGTGCAGAGACTGTTTGATTTCAGCACTGGGACCCATTCATTATAGCTAATTGAATTTGAGCTTTATCTTGGATGAGCACCGTGGTTCAACTTGGACAGTGTTCTTTTTTACTTGATCCAGCTACACGGTAACATAACTAAAATATGGGACACTTCTGTCCAAGCAGGAGCAACACAGTAAATGTAATTTATTAATACAGTCACAAGCTGACATCTGAGTTTAGTTTAAGCATGCCAGATGACTGGATACCCAGCTCAGCCATAAGATAAAGGTCACTGCTGCAGTTATGTGGACCTGAGAGCTCCCAAGTGGTTGGTTTCACCCCATTGAGCATAGAGCACCCAGTGGCCAGTTACATGTTAATAATCAACAGCTCAGCGGCTCCTTTCAGCAGGCCGGAGTTATGTAACAGAAATGTTGTGCAAATACAGAGAAACTAAAAACTCTTGGTTTCTGCTCGCACTGACAATTTACATTGTACAAGTATCACTATATTCTTAACCCTACTTAGTAATGGTGCTGATATACGTTCGGGTGTGACTTTTTGTATTTTCCCCAGTTAGACAAAAATATAGATAAAAATCCTGACTCTGAATATACTATATTTTCCAACTAACATCTCCCAGTGCAATTTATTCTGAATGCACCTGAATGCAGCTTTCAGTTGCTCTTTGTCACCACATAATGTTGCTTGTGTCATCTGTGTGTGCACTTTCACAGACTTGAGACCTGCACTCTAGTGTGCAAAGGTTTTATTAGCCAAAAACGGGTGAAAAGTGATTAAAAAGGCACAGGAAAACTGTGTTTCTAAGTAAAGATGGAGGAGGGAAGGAGGGGAAAAGACAGCCAAACAGTAAGAACAACGGCAGAGACAGCAGCAATGGCAGACCTAAGAACGGCTTACCAAACGTAACACTTGATACAATAACCTGGAGCACATACAAATGCAACCTGAAGATACAAGGGAACAGCTAGCAGGAGGGCTCCCTTACAATATAGTTTTCAATTTTCCAACATGTTGACATGATGAAGTACGGGATGAAAAACATAGATGGATAAAAGGTCATATTTGGCGGTGCAACATGCCGTTGTTTGGTAATATCCTTGAGGGTTGACTTCCCAGTTAACAAAGTCATTATCTTTTAATCTTAGGAACATCTCTGGCTCACTTTCCTATTCCTTACTCAGACCATAGTGGTCAGCTTATCGATGAGATCGTCAATGGTGTAGACCATAAGCTTGATGTCGTCCTTGTCAGACATGCGGTGCTGGCCATGTCGTCGGAGGATGACGTCCACGTCGGAGCTGAGGACACGCTCTGCAACCTGCATGGAGATGTGCCAGGGGACATCCTCGTCTTTGAGCCCATGAATGAGCCGCACGGGGCAGGTGATGGGGATGGGACTCTGGAGAACACAGTGATTTTCTGCCTCACGCAAAAAGTCCATGTTAAACTTGTAAACACCCTCCTCCATGTGTTTGGTGGGTATAGTCCACTCCCCCTTGGCCTCAAACTCCTTGCGTGTCTGCATTTGAACACAGAAATATCACACTTAGATGAGAAAATATTTAAAACAAAAAAGAATTACACATGTTATTGTATTTTATATTCTCACCTCCAGCGGAAGAGAGTTGAACGCTGTGACAACATGATCAGCGGCAGTGGAGATGCCCACCAGTGCAGCTGTCTTCTCTGGTCTGGCAATGGCTGCCAGCAGCATAAGCCAACCACCTATACTGGAACCAACCAGTATCTACAAGATGGCAAAAACACCACAAATTAAATATAGCTCAACTGATAGTTGGGAAAAAAAACAAAACCCCCAAAACAAACAAAACAAACAAAAAAAAACTTGGATACCTCACTTCAAACATTTTTAAGAAACCACACATTCATGCAGTAGAACGGTTGAAAACAAAAGCTGTGGTATCAATGTGGCAACAGTGCCATCTTCTGGTGAAATGAGGGGGGAAGCAACACTGGAGGTAGAATTTAGAAAGGTTTTACATCTCTGTTATTGATTCGCTCATGAACCCAGTTTAGTTACTGCAAATGAGAATTTTAAATGCACCCATTGAGGTGTCACTAAACCTGCTCCCAGCCCTGTTTTGCCTTTACTTGTTAGCTTTGGATTCACTGTGCAGAATAACGTTAAGTGCTGAGTTTGACACTAGAAGGCAATTTTCAGATTCATCTGGTAAAAGGGGAGATTTTCTCCGCGTCCACCTTCAACAACAGCAGAATTTCAGGACATTACAAGTAGCTGTGGCTACTGCCAGCTATGGCTGAGTATGCAGCTTACACGTAAATGTAGAGATTTGAAGCCTCCAGCACACAGACTCTAGGGAAGGGTTTTCAATGCAGCAACAGAAATGCCGTGCTCAGCAACTGACCTTATGAATATTTTTGTACATTTATAAGATCAGAATTTTTCAGTAGAGGACAATAAGATATTCTTTAGGTTTTGAATTGGGGAATATTTTGCATGTCATGTGCATATGTCAACTTATTTTAGGTATTTTGTTGTGTGTATTTTGTATGCGTTTTATCGGTCTACAGTCATGTGAAAAAAATTAAAAATAAAGCTTTCACTGGAGTCCTGTACTGCTTAATTGTATCCTCTTGCGGAGCCACGCGCTGCTCCCATCACTTCTGCTGTTTCTGTTGCCCTCTGACCACCTGCAGGTCCAATCAGCTTCTGTATCATACCGTCTCAAGCTTTATTTTAAGGATCATTGGTAATCAGACATAAACCCAGCACTGTCAGTGAAAGACCCCACAACTTCCCAGCCTAAAATGAGACTCATCCTCATTTAAAAAAAAAAAAAAACATTTGCAGGATTGTGCATCGTCAATGGAGTCAGTGGGTCAAATTTTCAACACGTATGTAGCTCAACAATATCCTTACTTAGCACGTTGGGTCTCCTGCGGCTCCCTCCTCTCCCCCAAAATGTAGTTTACGCTGCAGGAGACTCAGTGCGCATCACAAATGTGCATGTGCATAAGTATAGAAGTGGGACTACTACTATACTACCACAATACTTTGCTCACGACATGACATTATTTGTCTATTTAATATTTTTGCAATATGCTGAATACTAGAATAAAATAATCACCTCCTTTTATCAATATTTGTTTTATCCCACAAGATAAAATTATCTTTATTTATTTATTTTTGCAGCAAAATGAGATTGGCAAGCATACCTGCATTTCTGGTAAAACCTACTATAAATGTTGCCAGAAGACAGACTGACTCTGGTAATTGCCAACTTCAAATACACTGAAATGTGATGATGCATTACTTACCTGTAGGTTATTAAAAACAACATAGTTGCAATTTAACAAATTGAAGAAATGATTGAAGCTCTATTGCATTTAGGTCCTTATTTTCAAGGTTTCACATATTTGTTTGTCTGATATTACTGGTCTAATGAAAACCTTTGAGGATTATTCTCAGGAACCTGATAATCTTAATGCAGGACCAATGACCAAGCCTGCCGTTCCAAATTTACATAACTTGACTGATTACTTACCTCCTCTAACTAGCAATGGAATTAGCCTAGGAAATATTTACCTGTGGCCCCTCTGCCAACTCATCCAACACAAAAAGGACATCTTTTTTCCAGGTACCAATAGTTCCTTCTGATAGCACACCTCCTGAGGCTCCATGTCCTGTGTAATCAAACCTGGAAAACCACAAATAGCACAAAGTGGGTGAATATCTGAAGCTAAAACAATGGCAAGTCATACAAGGCTACAGACAAGTTTATGTGGACCTAACAAGCCTCTTATTGTTCAGAACTGGAGCCACTTGATTAACCAGGAACTTCAGACTTCACACGATGAAAGGTGGCGGTATTTTTAGGATAATTAAATTATTCATCAATTCATTCCTCCGTGCTTTAACAGACAACTATTCATTTTTCTTTCCATCATATAACTCTAACTCACTTTTTTTCTTCCTGACATTTGTTCTACTGTAACAAGTGAATTTCCCCAGTGTGGGATTAATTAAATCTATCAATTAATCTATATATATTTCCATATAGCTATAATACTTTTGGTTTTCAGTTTACTTACTAGATCTTGTTTTGGTTTCAGCTAATATAAAAGATGCATCCCAGCAAAAAAAAAAGTCTCAGTTACAGTATATTCAAAAGGTATATAGAAATTGATATTGTGTGCAAACAAAAACACCGTATAGCAACAGCATATTTTTAATACTCTCCTACATATAGAGGTGTTTTCCTCTATTAACTTCAACATTAACAAGCACATTAAAAGACAACACAGCTGTACTTATTGGTCACTTGATTCTTGTTTGCAGATCAAATTTCTCTATTTTTAATTCTATATCAGTTGGATGATGGGTTTCCCCCCCAATTCATTTATTTCATTTGTGCCTCTTGCAGTCCTATAGCTCGCTTTGGATTGACTGTGTTTAGCTTTATTTTTTAAACTTGATTTAATGCCATGCTCAGCATCGGGCTTCTCTCTCAGAGTGATATGTTTGGATAACTTACCTGAGGTATGAGTGTCCCAGTGACCTACAGAACTCTTCCAGCGCCTCAGCTTTCTGTCCATTCATGTTGGAGCCATAACCTGGGAGGAAAACCACACCTGGGCTCTTTCCCTTCACTCTCCTGTAGGCCAGCTTTGGGAGATCTGGTCGTGAAGCATACTGAACCGAAGATTTGTGCCTCCTGGGTTCTGTTTCACAGAACATTAGTTTTGTTATTTATTGACATTGAATATTATTTATTGATATTGAATTTGTTACATTAATGACTCCCTGTACAGAATTTTCGGTCAGTTTTGCGAACTTTGCTGGACACATGTCATGCCCCGCGTAGGATAAAGCTCATCTCGATGCAAGAGCATGGGCATTTCTTTCACATCGCTGGAACATACCAGCGATTTACTCAAGCGAGTGTAATTAGCTTTCTAAGCATTTTAGAAATGCTACAGAATTTGACCAAAAATGGCGCAAAAGCATTCCGAGCGTTAACATTTCGCCGTTCATGTCCTAAAATATTTTTAGGACGACGCAGTCTGTGCGAGCCACACCCCCTCCGACGTGTTTAAATACCTCTGTAAGACACACGAACGTTACCGAGTGTTCCTGCCATAAGAGGACACCTCAACAAACCTTCCAGACGCTTTGAAGACAGAGCTGCGAGCCCCCCATTGCTTAAAATCTGCGAAAGTCCTCTGCGGCAAGACCTCAGCGCGACGGCTGCCATACTGCTCCGAGACCACTGAGGAAATATCGCGAGAGTTGGAGCCTCGTTTCAAGCCACATAACAGTTGTAGTTCAAAGTAGATGTACATTGCGTCCTGTACTACATTCCTTTACTTCAGTGGAAATATACTGCCTTAGCAATAAAAGCCACGCATTAAACTTGCACTAAAAGTATAATGAAGAAAGAAAATGTAGACATTTACACATTTGGGTGGGTAGCGGGTACCTCAAAAGGCTATTAAAGTGGAATACTTAAGAAAATGTCGTCACCTGCACCAGTGCAGTAAAGCTTCTTTATCTTGGCAATCACGAAAAAAAAATATTTAAAATGAAGTTTGTTATTATTTCTCTAAAACAAGCATACTGTAACTATAAGCCCCTTTTGGTCACTCTTTAATTCTTAAGTGCATTCACTGAACTGACAGCAACACTCAGACTTAGTAATACTAGCTCAAAAACGCATTAAGTTGTTTTAAAAAAAGACTAAATAGATAATAATAATAATCATCAGTGTGCAGATTATCAAACCTGTAGTGCACACATGTATTCAACTTAATAACTACAGAAAAATAGAAAACAAAAAAGCACACACAAAAACAAACAGTGAGGTCTCTACATACAACTATGTATTATATTACGTAAATATTTAAGAAAAGGATCACACATTAAATAAGCAACGCAAATCAAGTAAATCAAAATAGCTGTTGTGAGCAATACTGCCTTTATTTATGAGTAAATATCATCTGTCATGTTGTAGTTTTATAGTGTTTTTTTAAGTGTTTGTGCAGTGTCATGTATCATGTTTGATTTATTTTAATATCTTTAATATTAAATAATATAACAGAAGACACACGCCAAAAAAGAAAATATAACATAAAAGTAACAGAAGACTATGAAAACTAGTAAATGTACTACTTATTAACGTTTCTAAGGTTTCACGCATGCAATCCAGTGCTCGGGGTTAGCAGATGCGCGCTAAGCTACAATCAGTGAAGCAGTGTGCCTATTTTACTGTGGGTAGGGGTAACAGAGGGGGTGACACTGCTGCGGACATGGTAGCCGAGAAGTTGTTGTGACCGTCATGTGAAGTGTCAGTTTGTAACATGACTCAGAGCGTCACAGGCGGAAGGTCACGGAGCAGCAGAACGGAACGGAAGCGGGAGTAAAAAGCCTATCCGCCATTGTGGAATATGGTAAGGGATATTCCAGTAAGGCACTAGTCAGTTTGGGCTTGACTGATAAACACCATCTGTGGCAGGATCGGACACGTTAACTGACGCCCTCTCCGCAGACACAAAGTCGCCGTTTGTAACTGCCAAAAGCAGCGAATCGTCGTCAGGATCTGAACACGGCAGGAGGAAAGGAAAAGGGAAAAAACGCCGCCTTGTAACGTTAACAGAGTGATTGGACAACCGAAGAGACGAGCCAGCAAAGCACCAAAGTGCAGAGAGGGAGAGAGAGAGGAAGCCGTGGACAGTCTCACAAACAGCCATCAGTTTCGGTTCCTGGAGGATGTCTGCGACCACCGTCGATCAGGTTCGTGTGTCGGAAGCGGAACGGTGCTACGGATTTAGCGGTGCTGCGGAATGAAACTTTGCCGACAACAGTTTGATCTGGCTCGGCAAACAGGCTCCAAAGTCTTTGATGTGTGATAGCTATTAGCTGTAATGTAGGCCGACTGTACTACTAATCAACTCTAGCTGTAGCCGGGTGGGTTTGCCAATGCGGCACCGTTTACTGGATGTCAGAGCGTTTGACATCCGGTCAATAATACGAAGCAACCTGTAAATGTTAGCATCCGGGCTGATGCTTCAGCCTGAGGTTGACTGGATCGTCGACTTATATATTTATTTATGTAGGGATACAGCCTGCTCTGTCAGTGTGCGTGTGTTTCTTGTTTCCTGTCGTGATCTGATACTAGTCTCATTTCTTTCTTTTCTTTTTTTTTTATGTATTTTTTCCTCAGAGACCTAAAGGACAAGGAAATAAAGGTAAGGCTTTATACTGTGGCGTTTCCAGTGTGGCACTGCAGGCTGTTTTCATGTCCAATTAGCTACCATGCTATTCAAAACTGCAGCTTATTTATGTTAGCCTTGTTTACTTTAGCTGCTGAAAACCTGTGAGTAAAATGTTTCTGATTACATCTTTCTTTCTGAATTTCTCGTATTGAATGTCCCTTGTTTCTGATCTTAGTGCAAAACGGATCAATGCATCAAAAGGATGGTGTAAATGATGATGATTTTGAGCCTTACCTAAGCGGCCAGACAAATCAGGTAAGGAGGCACACGAGTACCATGTATTATGGACAAATGACTTGCACACAGAATTTTCTTGCTTGTTTGTTGTCACTCTGTATAACCTGTGACTTTTTTTTTGGCCACACAGAGTAACAGCTATCCACCAATGTCTGATCCCTACATGCCCAGCTACTATGCTCCATCCATTGGTTTCCCTTACTCTCTGGGGGAGGCTGCTTGGTCCACAGCAGGAGACCCACCTATGCCCTACTTAACTACCTATGGACAGATGAGCAATGGCGAGCCACACTTCATCCCTGATGGTGTTTTCAGTCAACCGGGTGCCCTGGGAAACACCCCTCCCTTCCTTGGGCAGCACGGCTTCAACTTTTTTCCGGGCAATGCAGACTTTTCCACCTGGGGTACTAGTGTCTCTCAGGGCCAGTCCACACAGAGCTCAGTCTACAGCAATAGCTATGGGTACGCCCCTAGCTCGCTGGGTCGAGCCATCACGGACGGACAGGCGGGCTTTGGAAGCGACACCCAGCTCAGTAAGGTCCCGGTGCTGAGCAGCATTGAGCAGGGTATGACGGGGCTAAAGCTGGGTACAGACATGGTGGCAGCTGTCACCAAAACTGTGGGCTCACCTTTAGGAGGCACAGCAGGTATGAGCAGCATGTCGGCCAGCAACCTCCCTCCGTCTGTCAGCTCCTCTGCACCTAAACCCGCTTCCTGGGCAGCTATTGCCAAGAAGCCGGCCAAACCACAACCCAAGGTCAAACCCAAAGCCAACATGGGGATAGGGGGAGGCGCCGCTATTCCCCCACCCCCTATAAAGCACAATATGAACATTGGTACTTGGGATGATAAGGGCTCTCTGAACAAGCCCCCATTAGCTCAGACTATGATGCCCCCCCAGCCTCTGGTGCAGCAGCCTCTCCTTGGTCAGCCACAGCCCTTACTGCAGAACCCTTTACCCCCTCAGCCTCAGCACCAGCACCAGCACCAGCACCAACACCAACACCAACACCAACCCTTCCAACTCCAGTCTCTCCAGTCCCCTCAACACCCCCAGCCTCTGCCCCCTGGTCCTCCACACCTGCACCTTCCTTCCCAACCCCCTCAGCCTCTTCATCAGCAACCACCCCAACAACCTGGCCCGCCCCCTAACCGCTGGGTGGCTCCGAGGAACCGTGGCGAGGGCTTTGGTCTTTGTGTTGGAATCCCACCGAGTGCCTCCCCTTGCTCTGGAGAAGTGCACCCAGTGCTGGAGAAACTTCGTGCCCTCAACAACTACAACCCCAAAGACTTTGACTGGAACTTGAAAAATGGGCGCGTTTTCATTATCAAGAGCTATTCAGAAGATGACATCCACCGCTCAATCAAGTACTCTATCTGGTGCAGTACAGAACATGGCAACAAGCGCCTGGATGGTGCTTACCGCTCCCTGGGCAACAAGGGGCCCCTGTACTTGTTGTTCAGTGTCAACGGCAGTGGGCACTTTTGTGGCGTAGCTGAAATGCGCTCACCGGTGGACTACAATGCCTATGCAGGCGTCTGGTCTCAGGATAAGTGGAAGGGCAAGTTTGAGGTAAAGTGGATTTTCATCAAAGACGTGCCCAACAACCAGCTGCGTCACATCCGGCTGGAGAACAATGACAACAAGCCAGTGACCAACTCCAGGGACACTCAGGAAGTGCCTCTGGAGAAGGCCAAACAAGTGCTTAAAGTTATCGCCACTTACAAGCATACCACCTCAATCTTTGATGACTTTGCACATTATGAGAAACGTCAGGAAGAGGAGGAGGCTCTGAGGAAGGTGAGATAATACATGCTTTAAGAGCCTTGTCCTCTGTAAATATCTTGTTTGCATGTGCCAAGGTAGTTCAGTTTTATCGCCCTTTAATTCAAAGGGAGGCTAACTTTCACACAGTCACTGCTGCAGGCTGTTGTCAGACTGTAATCAGCTGATCTTGTTCCACCTGCTCAGAGGTTGTAACATCCTGTTGCTGAATGAACAGTCTGCTGTAAATGGAAGTTCCCAGAGGCCTGTCAGCAGATTGACATGGCACCATTACTCATAAGCAGGCTCAAGAAAACACTGATTTCTCATCAGCCATCTCATGCTGCTGAGATTGCGACGATCTGCCCAAATGGAGCTGGATGCATTAAGTTTTCCTGAAATAGTCTAGATTCCTGGCATTCCTTCTGCCAGACAAAGGCAGACGCAGGCTCCGATCTTTCTTTGAACACCGAGCCCCTGCTCTCCACTGGCTCCTCATGCTTTATTAGCCTTTACCAACATAAGCTCCTGGCCTACAAACTGTCTGCAAATTGCCACGGCACAGTCGGCGCAGTTTGCCAGGAATATGTATTCTAAAAATGCACGGTGAGATTGTAAGTAAAAACGAGCACAGAATAAGCTTCTCATTGGGGAAACTAAAATATGTTACCGTGGTAATAACAGTGGTGTACCACAAATGTAGTGAAACTCCGTGGGAGGCTGCTGCTGTGGAAAAACATCAGCCAAAAAGGCAAACAACATGGTATCACTGATAGCTCTCTGCTGCATCCATTCTTAGATTCACCGGTATGCTAATCTAATGCGTTTAGAAACCTACCCCATCCCACGACCCACTCCCTTCTTTTCCACCTACTCCCCCACTACTGGTGCTCTATTGATGCTGTATTGGCTGCTCACAGCTGACCTTGTTAATATGCGCTGGGTTACTTTCTCATAAATATTTCAAGTCAGTGTTTTCAGGCTTCTGAAAACAACCTGTCAGTAGAAAGCCAGTTTCATCCT